ATCATGTTTTCATGATCAATCGCTTATAGGAACTTCCTGTTTCCTTTTTCCATGGCTTTTTTTGCCAAGTATGAATGACAAAGATATTGTGAAATGAAAAAAAAAAATCCTCACTGATTAAGATCAGGAGAAAAGGGAATATGCAGACCCTGTATACTTGAGGCAGGGGGTAGTAATCTGATAAGGCCTTTTTAAAGAAACTGCAAAAAAAATCTCACATGAAAGACAAGAAAGGGTTAGTTGAGTAAAGAATGAGAAGTAGAGCGGTCAAAAGAAGGCAACAGCATCATGTAGGTCCAGAAGCTGGGAAGAAAAGAGTTCGGGATGCTTGAAGAAGCCTGATGCACATGGAGTATAGAGAGCATGGCGCACGCTAGTTAATTAGAACTGGAGAGATCGGAAGGGACTAGATCAGGCACGCCTCGCAGCCATCGACTTCTCTCCAGATTGTGGAATCAATGACCTCCCCCGTGCTGGGCTTCCTACCTTCTCCTAAATGGCTTGTGCCTGATTCCTTGTTTGGCCTTTAAGCCTTTCTGATGGTTCTCCTATATTTCTAGTCAGGACCACCACGATTCCTTGAAACCTGCAGTGCTGCGTTATTATTAAATCTACTCCTTAGGGCTCCTCTGTGTCTCTCAGTGCCCACCCATTTTGCTGCTGGGTTAAGAGGAGGAGGACGCATTTTGGGGGCTCAGCTATCTTAATCGCTACTCTAACCTACAACTTTCTTTCTACAGGGAATTCAGAAGAAGCTAAACACAATGATGTGCTTCAGTATATTTATAGAAAATTGTATATACTCTGAGAAATTTGTCAGGTGGCAGCAATGAGACAATGGACAAAGAATTATTTACTGCTTTCCATAAAATAGAGTGTCCTTTTAGTCTTCTATGGCCAAATCTAGGACTTGTGCTTTGAATGTGACAGAAACATTCACACTTCTCTTTATAAAATACATTTACTGCACTGATTTTATTAGTATTTCTTGCAAAGAAAAAGCAAAAAGTCATGCTTTCTGACCTTTGTGCCCCATAGCTGTTTGGCACAGTGCCTCTCACAAGGTAGGCGTCTAATAATAGTGGCCCTGAATCTGCCCCCACCCCCTGCCCCCAGCAGAGTACATTCTTAGGCAGGAGGGTTTTCTGCTGAACAAATTATAGGCCCTGAAGCCAGCGGTGAATTAGCTCTGGGCTATTCAAATTGCCCAGGGAGGAAAAGACAATAAAAGAGGATAGGAGAGGGTGCCTCTGATTGTGAACGTCTATAGCAGCAGCATCGGTGCATATCTGCCATAATGTGTCTCTAAATACAAATCATGCAGCCAGTCATAAAAAAAAAAAGATAACACAGAGGGTATAAAAACATAAAGCAGTCATATATTAAATATTTAGTATGTGTCAGATACTGTGCTAAGAATTGGCTCCAAGCTTCACAGCAGCTATCGTCATCTCTTACAGGCTAGAGAAGTAAGGCGGCGGTAGGTGCCGTGAGCCCAGAACCACACAGTTCATGTATGTTGGGGACATTTTAAAACAGACCTGCCTAGCTTAAGCTCTAAACTCAGACTCTGCCAAGGACATTCGATTTTTCAACTTAGTCTAGGCCATAGAGATCAGGCCCAATAAAAACCAAACCAAACCAAACCCCCACTGTCAGATGTAACTCAGGGGCTGACATAAGTGACCTGATCCATAAACATATCAAAGTAGAGATATTACCACAATTATCAGCACTCTCATAGAACTTGCTAGCAAGTAATGAATCTGCCATGGAAGCTGCTTCATACTTTTCTCAAAAATTCAATCAAGTGGCTTGAAGTGTTATGAGTCTTCAGTTTAAAATACCATTCAATTGTGTTCTGCTCTGTTCTATCATTCTGATCACTGTGCAAATGTCAAAATGAACACCCCACACACACACACACACACACACTCACACTTGTATTTCTAGTGTTTATGAGACACTTTAGAGGAGGGTCAGCTCAAAGGGAAGATGCTTGAGTCTTGTTAGAGAACCTGAGATGTACTGACTTTGTAACTTTTTACAGTCATGTGTCACTTAAGGATGGGGATATGTTCTGAGAAATACCTTATTAGGCAATTTCACTGTTGTGCAAATGCTTAGGAACTATGATAAATAAAGCAACATGAGATTAAATCAAACACAACACAAAATGATGCCATCAAGAGACATGGTACACATGAGGTATATGAGGCTGCTGCCAGCATAACATGGCATACTGCTTTATAGCAAACTTATTTTTTTTTGTAAATAAAAAGAGTACACTCTAAAATAATGATTAGAAGTATAGTATAGTAGATGCATAATCCAGTAACATAGTTATTCATTATCATTATCAAGTATCATGTGCTGTCCATAATTGCATGTGCTATACTTTTATGCAACAGGCAGCACAGTGGGTCTGTTTATACCACAAACACATGACTAATGAAATGTATTGTGCTATGATGTTAGGACAGCTATGATATCACTAGGTGATAGGAATTTTTCAGCCCCATATAATCTTATGGACCAGCATTGAACACGAGGTCCTTTGTTGACTGAAATGTCGTTATATGGTGCATGACTGTATTTCCTGTAAGTTAAAACCTTATTATATACCTGCTATGGACAAGGTTTTGTATGTGCTGAGGATACACTGATGAACAAGAAGGACTATTTCCCCATAATTGCCCACCCCTCTCCCCACTGCCTGAGTGTCTAGGCTTAGCTCACCGTACCCCGCATGGCCTCACAACAGATCATTCCCAAATCTGATCAACAGGGAGATAGAAGGAGAACTTGATTCTGTACTGACTCCTCACACTGATTTAGTAAAGTCTGATTTATTGGCCTTGAAGAATTGTATAAAAACATATCTTATACTCTGGTTACTTGAATCTACATTTTAGCAATATGCGTTTTTATGTATGCCTTTAGATGATTTTTTTTTTAAGCTGAGCCATCCTGCCACCTGTTGGCAGCTCAGCAGCAGCTCAGCTCGGGCCTGGAATCGAGCCGGCGACCCTGTTGCTCAGAGCTCTCACTCTTGAGCGAGCTCTCAATCAACTGAGTCACTCGGCCGGCCCTTGATGATTTTATAAAAAATGAACTCTGAATTTATCATTTTGATCATGGAATTGTGTGCTCCCTGGTCTTCATGGACAGTGCAGAGTCACTGACCCACTGTCAGTAAACCATGCTTTGTGAAATGTTTTCCCGGAAATGGAGATGCATTTGCACAATTGCTTTCCATTCTCTTGGTGTCTCTTGTTAACAGCAGCATGCATTTTGTATGAAAGCTGGCAGGGGTTAGGACGCAGTTCACGGCCGTGAATCTCAGCACAGCTAACTGGCATGTACAGGGATGAAATCTGCAACTTTTGCTTCATTAGCACCATGCCCCCTACTGAGTTAACCAGCCATAGGCAATTGGAGAACTCGGAAGGTTAATTCTTTCTGCCCATAGGTAAAGTTACAGCTCAATGGAAAAAAGTGTTATCCCTCCAGCCAGGAAATTTTAAGTGGAAAAAAATGGCTGATAGTACAAAAAGGTTAAACAAATTGAAAACGGTTCTTAAGCAGGCTAGCAATTTTTTCAAGGGTTGCATAAAATATCCTGTAACTTTCATAGAGGTTATGACTCAAAAAATGTCTCAACCATGTGATTGCCAGGAACAATTAAAATAAACAGCGCAAATAGGGCAATTAAATATAGATACTAACAGCTTCAAACCACAAGAGAAGAGAAATGAAGCAGCTTTGTTTTCCTTCTAAAAACACCCAGGTGAATTTATTTGGAATTAGAATAAAGGGCTGTTTTGAAAAGCTAGATAGGGAAGAAGACTGATGCGGCCAAAAACTTATGATTATTTCCACCCTTAAGGGAGCCCTGTTCTGAGCGAATGTGTCAGCGCTCCTGCTCAATTACGTGCAAATCAGCTAGAAGAGATGGCTCTGAGGACACAACCAAAAGGCCCACTGTCTCTGTAGTTTAAGACAAATGTCATGCATTCACTTTCCACTTCGTAGGTATCCTGTGACCCCAAGTCACTGCTCTTTTCCAAGAGCCACTCTGGTTTTCCTTTCCTGGCTCCTGTGTCTTGAAGACACAATGCAGCATGAGAGGACAGGGAGGCCTCTCTCTGGTCAACAACCTTTGTGTGAAATTAGCACTAATACAGCTGAACTAAATGGAGCCCCACTCTCTGACACTGTGGACGTGGGGAGTGAAAAACAAATGCCAAAATGTGCCTGTCTGCACGGAAAGATAAAACCAAAAACTTATTTTGGGTACTACTTACAAGACTAAGACAAAGCCAGTAGATCTTAACCAGTGAGTTAGGCTGTGGGACTTCAATAGGAACATGCTACTGTGTCTATTCTCCATTTTGACTTTCTGGCCAAAGGCAGGGTGTAAAGAATACTCATTTGAGCACTTACCATGTGCTGTATGCCAGGTACTTGGAAAATTTTATGTAATCTTTGAAATAGGTAGTTGTAAAAGTTAAGGAAAACTAATCAACTGAGGGAGTCTTTCACTTGCCTCAGCTTTGCCCACAACCCGTGTCTTCACTGTAATCCTCACTGAAACAGCAATTTAAGTAGCAAGCATGGTCCATAATTAAGTGGATAACTTGTAATAAGATCATCATGGGGACTTTCATTACAGAAGGAATTAAGATGTATTTGTAAGGAATAATTATACAATGGCATGATGGGATAGGATGTAGAGACTATAATAGAACAAAAATTTTGAGTGAGAATAAGTGTTTTACCTGTTCTGATGTCTTCTGAGGTATATCTGTGAAGTTATATAGAAACCCTAGAATTATGGTGCTGAGAAAAGGGCCTCAGAAATCTAGAATAATATGTGAGGGTCACAAAGCGATATTGCAAAGCATTTGCGCTCTCATGACAAACTCAGTCCAAACAAATGCTGTTGAAAAGTATATTCTCTCATGTAACATTAAACCTTTATCTAATTTAATTTTCAGAACTTCTTTCAAATAGTTAGCAACCTTCTAGATGAAGAAAACAAGGAAAAATGGGAAGATGCACAACAGGTAAGGTTCGAGTTATTTCAGATCTTAAAATGAAATTGGTTAAATAAAGTTTTAAAAGTATGTGAAGAAATTAATGGCTTACTATTCCAAGAACATAAAAGGGGACCTTTGAAAGTCATTCTAGATTATATCATATGAATTTCAGAGAAAACAAGTTTTCTCTTTTATCATAATAATCAATAGAAATAATGATATTTATAAATATGATCAAACTGAGCAGTTTTAAGTAATTTATAACTTTAAGTAACACCTAAGGCATAAGGCATAAAAACTATATGCCTTATTAACCAGTTTCTTTCCTGTCTACAGATTGTGGGAAGAACAGCAAATCTAAAAGCACATCTTGCAAACCAAACTGTGGGATACTAACTAGTAAAATCATTTGCATTTACTACAACACTACATATCATCTGGATCATATATACAGATATGCATTTTTATTCAAAGCCGAGAGATGTAAAAATGAGTTCTTGTTAAAAAAAAATGCATTCTGCTTTTCTCTCTTTCTGCAATGCATGATCAATGTAGCAAGTGGTCTTATTGCTGTAGTTACTGTTTTAAAATGCCTTGCTCTGCCACTTGTGCTACACTGACATATGGTTGGTAACATTTTTTTCTAGATTTTTATAGAAAAAATGCATTAGCAATAAGAAAGGGGAAATAAGCATGTTTTTTTACAATCCTGTAAAAATATAAAATAACTGAATGTTAAACTTCTTTAAGTTCTCTAATTGACCCATGTTAAAAATGCCAAGGGACTTTTTCTGGACTTATGTGGGATATAAAACTGAAAGCAACAAAGAAATAAGACAAACAAATAAAGAAACAAAAACTCATAGACACAGACAAGAGTTTAGTTGTTACCAGTGGGTAAGGGGGAAGGGAAGTGGTAGAAGAGGGTAAATGGGGTCAAATGTATGGTGATGGAAGGAGAACTGACTCTGGGTGGTGAACACACAATATATAGACAATGTAATGTAGAATTGTACACTTTAAACCTATTTAACTTTACTAACCATTGTCACCCCAATTAATTTTAATTACAAAAAGAAAATAGGTAGGAAAAACAAACAAAAAGTATTCCAAGAGAACTATGCATTCTGTTTTTTTGTATTAGATTCAGGTGTACAAAGCAATATACTAGTTAGACATTTACACCCCTCACAAAGTGATAAACCCCTCTCCCCCAAGTTACTATCTCTCTGACATCTTATATAGCTGTTACAATACCATTGACTATCTTCCTTATGCTATACTCTACCTATGCATTCTTGAAAATATGAGTATTGACTGAAGCTCAGGTGAACCATCTATCCTTTTCTCCCTTCATAATCATATTCCGGGACCCCAGGAGTAAAGCATGCCCTTTATTCCTATTATGATTGGAGCTCGAAAAATAGTCCAGTGTGGGTCCACCTCATTATCATACAAATCCTGTGCTCCTGGCCATAGCAACAATAAAAAAAAAATCACCCTTACTTTAAGACACTGAATCTTTTTCTACTGGTTTGAGTTATATATTTGTCCTTGGCTGTTTTCTAGATGAGTCTCATCCACTATCTGTAAGAAAATGGTGTTTTTCCTTAGAATACAGCTGCATAGGCTAAGCACATCTATCTAGATGCCAAAGACTATTACTTATAGATATATTTAGAACAAATGTATAATACTCTATTTAAAACAAGACTGCAATTCATCAGATCCAAGTTATTCACTGTGAGGACCCAACTTGAACAAATAATGAATGGTGACAGAACTTCTCGTCAATGGAAAACCCTGAATCCATACTACATCTATTAATATTTATTTGAGATTTGTGAGTTAGCTGTAATAGTCATTTCAGAACTTGTTTGCTGCACATCAGCCCCAGTTATGAAGGATCAAACTATGTTTAAATAAAGCATCCTACTAAAAACATAGCATACTAAAGGGAAAAAAAAGATTACACTCAATATAACATTATTTTATAGACCATTGTGGTAGGAATTGACAAGTCCATTTCTGTCAAGACAAACCATTTCTTTTTTTTTAAAGATTTTATTGGGGGATTGGGAAAGGGGGACAGCATTGGGGAATTGGGGAAGGGGAAAAGACAAGTTGCTGTCCTTTTGTTCTTCAGTCTAGTTATGGAAGACATTGCTTCACAGGTCCACGTTGGTATTATCATTGCGCTCTTCCCAGTTGAGGCAGTCGCTCGCTGGCCATTGGACAGCCACTCACGGTGGCTCACAGCAGCTCACAAAAGCTCACGCTGGCTGCCAGACACTCACGGTAGCTTTACAGCAGCCCACTGCAGCCCCACTGCAGCCTACGCCATTGGTAGTGACTCAGAGCAGCCCAGCTCCAGGTCGAGCTGTTGTTCACCATCTTAGCTGTAGAGGGCGCAGCATAACTGGCCCTCATGTGGGATCCGAACCGGGGACCTGATGCTCAGAGTTGGCATCCTAAGCTAACTCTTAACCAACGTGCCACTCGGCCGGCCCAAGACAAGCCATTTCAATTTCAGTCATGCTATTATGTTCTGTAGTTCCTTGTTTCTACTGAAAATTCTTGTATCTCTGCAGCAGCAGTGGGCAAACTTCCGCCAGTGAGCCAAATCCAGCCCAATACCTGCTTTGTAATTAAACTTTGGGAATATAGCCACACCCATCATTTACATAATATCTATGTTTGTTTTGGTGCCACAACGATGGAGTTGAGTTGTTCAGAGTTGAGGCTCCCTGACCCACAAAACCCAAAATGTTTGCTGTCTGGCTTTTTATAGAAAAAGGTTACCAACTTCTGCCCTACAGCATTTGACTACTGTTGGGAAAATATAATCAAAACCAAAATCTTCTGCCAACCTACAAAACCTCTGCACAAAAGAAGAAGAGGAAGAAAACAGTTTTATTACTGAATAAGCATTCAACCAGAATGTCACAGGCAACCTGCTAAGAGAATACAGTGACAGAACGAAATCTCACCTTTTCATATAGCCAAGAGGACTTGATAGCACCATTTGTCACACACAGTTCAACCTAAATTCATTTGATAATTGAGGTGACCAGTTGTTAGTGAATTGGCTTTATCCAAAGGGTGGAAAATAGCTTCATATCTTACTGACTGCAGGTAGTTTTGTAACTTATAGCAAGAGGCTGGCCGAAGTTAGCTTCTACCCTCCCACAGAGACTGATGGAGGGCTGTCTTTCTTGAGTACATTTCAAAGAGAGACAGCCTGAGTCTGTAAGCTGGTAAGAGGTTATTTCACATTTTAAAAGCTTATATACATTTCAAAGAGACAGAGAAATAACTTAACAATGAATAGTTTTCTGATGTAAATGCTCTAAGAAAAGGGAGGAAGTAATACGTTTGGGGAAGGGCGTCTCATTTTCAAAAAGGAAAAGTGAGCCTCTGATTTTTAATTTGTATTATATTTGCCCTTACACTACACACACTCCTTCATATACACATACACCTACACAAACACAGAAGGGAAAATGCACGAGTGGCAGGAAGTTTGGAGCTGATGGAAATTTTATGCACATTTTTTGGAATGGGGATGATGAACTTTCAAAACTCATATTTAATGATTGGAAATGTATATAAGCAACAGATTCTCTCCCAAAATCTTTCTGAAATATATATGTGTGTGTATATATATATATATATATATATATATACACACACACACACACACACTCACACACACACACACAACTATCTATGCCATGTATTTCTAAGTGTGATATTCATTGTTGATGTCTTCACGTCTATGTGAGTAAATGTATATCCTCTAAAATATATAAATATTAGGTGAGCATAGCCAGTAGCTCCTATAACATACACACTATGTCTGCTGCCCTCACCAATCAACAAGTCTTCCTCCTCCTCTGGCCCCCTCAGTCTCTTACCGTACGGTTTCCTGCTAATCAGCATTGCTTCCCCCTGTTCACTAGCCTTTGTAAACACAAAGCCACTAAAACTCTTTAATCCACTTAATTTTTTCATGGCTGGAAGTGGCAGTGTAGCTAAATGGGTAAAAGACATGAGCGTAACATCAAAAGACTTTTTGTTCTGATATGATTATGTAATGCAGGCTGACTTTATAAGCGTTTTGGGTTACACATGTTAACATTCATGTCACCTTTTAAATGGCCTTTATGTTCTACACACTGTGTGCTATTTTCAGAATCAGGCCATCTTTAAGAAGACACTCATCTGTAGTGTATGATGTGGCATGGTTTGGGGTTTGTTGTGTATATGTACATGTGAGGCACCTACCCCAAAGCTATTATAATGATTTGAAAATTATTATTAAAGTTATTCACGCAGTCACTATTAGAAGAAATAAATATCTCTTCTAAGATATCTAATTATTATGCAGTAGACTTAATAGTTTGTCAATATGTTCATGATGGCAGTAATGATTGTTTTTCCTTCCAGTGTCCGTCAAGTAGGTGCTAAGAAAAAAATCTAAAATGTCCCCAAATTTCAGTGTTTGTTCAGCTGTATATGTAAGGCAAGGAGCCCATCAAAAGTAAAGACACTCTATTTCTAAGTAGACAATCTGTTAGGTATTTTGAGTTTCCAACCATTTATAGGGGATTAATTACTGTATCATATCACCCCCAAAATTCTTGCTGTGTGTGACACCTGTTGTCATTCTCAACTATTAGTTCAAAAAATACAACTATTGCCAGTCATAGAAAGTTCTCTAAATAAATCAGAACTCATTTGTGAACTCATCATGGAGCTTTTTTTTAAATTCCAGTTATGTATTCCATTACACAAACTTTTTATTTCATCTAATCTTTGCTTATCTTTGTAGATTTATCCAGGCTCGATAGAGTTAATGCAGGTGATTGAAGATTTTATACACATTGTTGGAATGGGGATGATGGACTTTCAGAATTCATACTTAATGACTGGAAATGTAGGTAAGAAATAGGATTTTTTCCAAAATCTTGCTGAAATTAAAAAAAAAAATTGCAAGTATCTGTGCCATGCATTTTTAAGTTTAATATCCATTGTTCCTATCTCTAAGTATATGAGAATAATGTATCAAGGATACTTGATGTCCGATTTTAAATGGGTCTCACCACATATACATCAGACACACACATACATACACACACACACACATACACACACACACGGCACACACACGCACTTGCATGCAATCTGCATTCTTTTGTATAATGCATATAGACCTAGTTGTGTTTATCTGCCTATGTATATTTAATGAAGAATATGTGCTACATTTTCCATTTACCAAATGTTCTTTGCTACCCAAACTAATTTTGAAATATATATACCCTAGTGTGTGTGCTTTTCTAAATGATTCTTGATAATCTTCCATACACTGTTTGTGGAGATGCCTGGTTACTTTCTTGCTGAATTTGCATGGGTTATGGAACACTTTGAAATACCTCTAAGGGTCATGATCACGAGTGCTGCTGCTGCTGCAGTTTTCTCGAGCAGCTTGCAGGATACAGTGGATCTCTTAGACCCTTCTGTAGTGGATTTTGTCATGCTGGAGCACATGAAGTGAAAATTATTTTTTCCTTCAGTTGCCTAGTACCCCTCCGTATACAGAGAAGCAAAACCTATGCACACTTCCAGGCTACCACAGTTACGTTGAGCCAACAATAATTATGTTGATGGCACATTTCTCTTTCTAGTTAAAAACGTGACAAGAATAAAGAAATAGCCTTATATATTATACGCATTGAGTTGCTATAGGTTTATAGTTTTCTCATTTCTTAAAGCTTCCTGTCATGATGTTACTGTAATTCAGAAAGGTTTTCTTTCATCTGAAAGCTTTAGTAATCTTCACATCAAGACCACTGACCTATAGACAGTGATGTGTTCAAATCAATATAGCTTACATCACAGTCTTATTCACTGGATGTTTAAGCTTTAGTTTCTGGATCAGGAAGAGACCTAACTTGATGGTGGGATTAACTAGGGGAGTTCAATTGGTACATATTTTTTTTCTCTTTTATGATTAAGGCTTTTGGTGTTTCATTTTATACTTGATTTCTTCTGATTATCCTTTAGTTCCACAGAGGCTCATTTGATCCTAAGATATCTTTCAACTAGAATGGCCTCAAATTATAATGGGTAATAGCAGCCTACCAGGTAATATTCTTCAGTTGAGGACAGCCTATGTCATGGAGTCTTCTAAGGTCTGGAGACAGTTCCTTGCCCATATACCATCTTCATGCGGTATAAGGCCTTACCAGTTAGACTTATGTCTTAATCCACCTTCTGAGTCAGTTTGAGAGCCCAGATTTTTCACCACAGTGAGTGTCCGGCAGCTCGTGCTGGTTCAGGAATAGAATGAGCTGTCCTTTGCTAGGGGCAACGAGAAGAAAAAGGGACCATTAATAGTATTTTTGTTGATGAATTCAAAAATTCATGAAAACCCAAACTGAATGTCCATTCCAAAAGTGTCTGGGGAAAGAGAGGAAAAGGGAAGTCTATAGGAAAAGGGATAGTATGTTGGGCTATGAATTTGGGGACACACAGAAAGAAGAATCTAGAAAGATACTAGTGATGCTGGTCATTTAAGATGAAACCAGTCTCCTGAGAGCCATATGTGTGACTTCTTTGGTGGTGAAAGAATGATGAAAGCTGCTCTGCCAAATGAGACAATTTGCAAAGTGATTTGCAAAAAAAAAACTAAGGGGAAAAAAAGCACTATTGTGTGTTTTGTTGTTGTTGTTGTTGTTGTTCTTTCTGTAAATGTTAACATCTAATTCTAAAAGGCATTGCTAATTAAAAGTATTATTAGATCAGTGCATGGCATTTGTTCAGAATGTGTTTAGAAAAACTATAAAAAACAAAGCCAATCTCCGAGTCTAGTAAACTTAAATTGGAACTTAAAGAAGGTTGTTTGAATAACAGCATATCAAATTCTCTATACTACTAGTATTATTTGCTCTAAAAATTTCATAATTTCATAAATTGCAAACATTTATTCCTCTTTACCTGTTTTTGGACTTCCCAAAGTTGTGTATTTGAAAAAAATGTGTGTATTATATTTTGCCTTTAGATTATATTCTCTAGGTTTGCCTACTTCCTTTATCATCAGTAAACTTTAAGAAGCATGTTAAGCATAATAACTCAAAGTAGTTTAATGATGCAAAGGAAGCTAATATTGTCCTGTATTGTCTTCAAATTTGTATAAGGATGATGTGATTATTTGGCCTGATCACTTATGTAGCATTAATTATCCACATTATAAAAAAGTCATGTTCTGTGAATAAAAATCCCAAGCTTTATAACACTGCCCAAAAAAGAACTTCTTTATAGTTGATTTCCCCAAATATTATATCAGGGACTGACTTACTATAATTTGATGAGCAGAAAAAAGTTATTCCCAATAATATATAAGAGTTTAGTGAGGTGTATCCATACAGTAGTCAGGGTTCTCCAAAGAAACAGAACCAATATGATATATGTAGATATGTAGAAAGAGATTTATTTTGAGGGATTGGCTTATACAATTATGGAGGCTGAGACATCCCATGATCTGCAGTCTCCAAGCATGAGACTAGGAAAGCTGATAGCATAGTTCCATTTGAGTGTGAAGGCCTGAGAACCAGGAAAGCCAGTGTTGTAAGTCCCAGCCTGACTCCAACGGCCTTAGAACCATGAGCATTGGTGTCCAAAGGCATGAGAAGATGGGTGTCCCCGCTCAAACAGAAAGCAAATTCATCCATCCTCTGCCTTTTTGTTCTACACAGGCCCTCAGTGGATGGATGATGCCTACCCACTTTATTGAGGAAAATCTTCTTTACTCAGCCTACTGACACAAATGCTAATCTCTTCCGGAAAAATTATTACAGACACACCCAGAAATAATGTTTTACCAGCTATGCGGGCACCACTTAGCCCAGTCAAGTTACACATAAAATTAACCATCACAGTCCACTAGTGTCAAATTGGATAATAATATGAATAATAATTACTTACTATTAATATTCTTCATGTTATCCAATTTGATACTAGTACTCGTAAAACATGATTATACTGTTTTATCTGATATTTCCAATGTTTTGGGACAAGGGCACACAGAATATTTTACAGTAGCAAGTTGTGGCATGTGCGAGTTGGTGCTCATTTGTTTTCACATCCAAAGTCCAAATACTAATTATCTGACATCAAACTCATTATACTGAGCACACACACACACAAACACACACGCTTTCTTATACACATACTCACAGCACGTTTGGTAAACAGAGACTAGGTAACTAAGAAAGGTTGGCAATCCTTTATAGACGTTTTCTTCAGTGTATGTAGGCTTAAGGCTACTTAAAGAACTTCAGAAGATCATCATGTCTTTTAGGGAGATTGTAACTTCATATATATATATATATATATCTCCTATATGCACAACCACCTCACTTTTCTGGAATATATTGATAGATAAGTTCCCAAAGAAAGAGACAGGGCCAGCCGAGTGGCTCAGTTGATTAACTCACTCAAGAGTGCAAGCTCTGAGCAACAGGATTGCTGGTTCGATTCCCGACCTGAGCTGCTGCAGAGCCACCAACAGGTGTCAGGATGGCTCAGCTAAAAAAAACAAAAACAAAAACAAAAACAAACCAAAGAAAGAGACAGTGTTGAACAGCCAAACATAAATGACATAAAGACTACACAATTCAAGAAGATAGTCTCAGAACCTCAATGATAGCCTGTTTTATTTCAACTTTAAGTGTAGTTTCAGCATTTCTGGTCCCTGGTTTAGAAAGAATGAGTTGGAAGCAGAAACAGTGGTGTTAGAAGTACAAATACAGCAAGTAAAATAGATGAAATGCTGATACAATAAAGAAAAAAGTCCTGAAAGATGCAGCAGAGTATGGAGTCCAACAAACAGCCCCTCAATCCTCACCCTGAGAACATTAGTTCTAAGACACAGGACAATCATTTATGTCTAAAATCATGGCCTTCATTTATCAAGATAAAAGTTTCTATAATTTGATTAAGGTAGGAAGAAAATGAGGGATGCATCTTGGAAAGATTTTCTTCAAAAATAGTTCAAATGAAGCTTTGATGCTTCTTTTATCTGAAAAATGTCCCTACCTATATCAGCTTCTGATAAATGAAATACCCTGATATGCTAAAATCTATGAACATTCTGGTATGTATGCATTCATGTTTATTGTTGGAGGGAACAGGTCATAGCTTTGATCAATTTTCAAAAGATTATAATCTCAAAATGTTTAATACAAGTTTTGGAGAAAATAGTCCTATGAAAGATGTTAAAAAAGCCAATGCATATATAAAATAATTTATCTTAAATATAATATTTATTTTTCATATTCACATATGAATATGACATTCAAAATAGGCATGTGATGATTATAATAAATGAAAGTTAATGAACACTTACTAAAGACTAATCACTCTATTAAATAACTTATATAATTACTGATAAATTAGTAAATTAATGAAAATGAAAAATTGATATGCTACAGAAAAATTTCAACTTTCAATATGCCTCAGTTTATTATAAAATTATATTCTAAAAGCTCTAAATATGCTGTATAGGTAAGTGGTTCTTGTTTTAGTAAAAAAGTGAATTTTTCAATGTATTAAAAAATAATTATCATCAATTAGATCAGAGGGACCATATTTTAATAATATTTAAGATAAGTTATTTTTCTTCAGCAAAACTATCATTAAGTTGTTTAAACTTGCTTTATATACCTTCTCTCCAAACATTTTCTCTTCAGTCCCTTGCAGTCTAGCATTTTTCTCATCACTCCTAAAAGTCCTTTCCAAAAAGCCTTCTGGAAACTTCTGACTGACAAATTAAACCTCCCTCCATATTTCAACCTTCACACCCTCTGTGCCTTGTTAACCACACTCTCTTGAAACTGTCCTTTTAACACTTTTATATTAATTATAGCATAAAATGGAATTA